TAAGACGGACTAGCAGCAGTTATACTGATGAGGTCTGATGTGATCTCCTTATGTGTTGTAAACTCTGTCACTACGATGTACTAAGACGGATTAGCAGCAGTTATACTGATGAGGTCTGCAAGATTAGATAGTGCCTTAAGCCAGTCTCTTTTCAGGTGTGAAAGAGAGAAGCAAGCAGAGACACATGGGGACCTCATGCCACCAGGAAAGCGGTGCTGGGGGCAGAGCGCATCCTTTGGACCTGAGGTTCCTGTGCTGAGAAGCTCCCAGACCAAAGGAAGACTGATGAACCACAAGGACCTTCCTCCAGAGCCGACAGAGAGAGAGAAAGCCTTCCCCTGGAGCTGACGCCCTGAATTTGGACTTGTAGCCTACTGGACTGTGAGAGAATCAACTTCTCTTTGTTAAAGCCGTCCACTTGTGGTATTTCTGTTAGAGCAGCACGAGATGACCAAGACACTGGCAAACTGGAAATACCAACAGGAGCAGAAAACAAAGTTCCAACAAACCCTCTCTCTCTAGCCAAGGGACCAGAAAAGGAGCAGCCCAGCAAGACAAAAAGCTTTTAGACGATACCACTCCACTGTCATCAAACACTACAGAGAAACCCGCAGGCCCACCTCCACCCCTGCCAGCAAGGGCGGCGTGAGGAGCCTAGACTTCGACCCTTGTGAGGCTATAATGAGGCACGCTGAAATCCCTGTCACGGTGTTGCTGGGAAAGGTCAAGTAGGGGCCCGGGAATTTGATCTCCACCAGCCAGTGACACGTGCCCGCCCCTCCCACACACTGGTGTCCGTGGAGACCACGCGGAGCCTCAAAGTTCCACCCCCACCTGGCAGTAACCAGGCAGCCCTCCCCCTCCGTATGAGTGTATGAGACAAAGCTCAGTGGGCAGTCAGGTCTACCATCACAGCCCAGTGGTAAAAGGACATTCCCGTCCTGGGTTTTGATGCAGGTCCAGTGGAAAACCTGGACTTTTACTTTCATCTGGCAGTAATGAGGAGTCAGCTCCCGTTCCCCTGCCGGAGCAGGGCCAGAGAAAGCCAGTTCAAAAAGGATAAATGAGGGACAGGCTACTACAGCATAGTAGGAAAATTCTAGGATGCAATAAAATATTTCTTGTTATACCAAGATCCAGGAAGATATTAAAAAAAAAAAGAAAAAAAAAGACAGGAAAGAATTAACCGATGGCAAAACCAGGATGACAAAAATGTTAGGACTAACTGGCCATTTTAAAGCAGCCATGATAAAAACGTTTCCAGGAGCAATTATGAGCACGCTTGAAGCAAAAAATCAGAAAGCTTAAGCCAAGAAATAGAAGACATAAAGAAGACTCCAGTGGAAATCTTAGACTGGAAAAACACAATAACCATTCCCTGCCAAAAAAAGAAAAGTTCAGGGAATGAGCTCCACAGCAGAATGGACAGCGAGAGGAAAGAATGAATGAACTAAACAACTAACAATAGAAATTATTCAAGCTGAAAAGAGAGACAACAGACTGCAGATTGGAAAGGAATCAACAGAGTCTCAGGGACCTGTGGATTATAACAAAAGATCGAACATTAATGTCATCTGCGTTCCAGAAGGACAGAAAGAGAGGGTGGAGCCAAAAAATTATCAGAAAGAAAAAAAAGGCTGAAAACACCTCAAATTTGGGAAGAGGTTTAAACCTACAATTCAAGAACTTAAGTGAACTCCAACAGGATAAACGTAAACAAATAAATGCCACAATATAGCAGTCAAATTTCTAAAAACCCAAGATAGAAAAAAGTCTTGAAAGCACCCAGAGAAAATCGACACTTTACCATAGGGGAAAAGCAATCTGAATGACAGTAGATTTCTCATTAGAAACCATGAAGGCAAGAAAAAAGTGACACAATAATTTGGAATGTCTAGAAGAAAAGAACAGTCAACCAAAAATCTTATATTGCTATTAGTTGCCAGTGAGTAGATTCCAAACTATGATGACCCCATGTGTGCAGAGCAGAACTGCTCCATAGGGTTTTCACGGTTGTAACCTTCTGGAAGATTACCAAGCCTTAATCGAAAGGTCCGCGATTTGAACCCACCATCTGCTCCCATAAAGACTGCTGTTAGCTGTTAGGTGCTGTTGAGTCAGGTGTGACTCATAACCACTCTATGTAAAACAGAATGAAACAGTGCTGGGTCCTGCCTGATCCTCACAATCACTGCTATGTTTGAATCCATTGTCGCGGCCACTGTGTCAATTCATCTCGTTAAGGGTCTTCCTCTTTTTTGCTGACCATCTAACTTACAAGAAGGATGTCCTTCCCCAGGGACTGGTCCCTGCTGATAACAGGTCCAAAGTACGTGAGACGAAGTCTCGCCATTCTCCCTTCTAAGGAGCGTTCTGGCTGTATTTCTTCCAAGACAGATTTGTTTATTCTCCTGGCAGTTCAAAGTATATTCAATATTCTTTGTCAACACCATAATTCAAATGCATCAATTCTTCTTTGGTCCTCCTCATTCACTGCCCAGCTTTCGCATACATATGAGGCGACTGAAAATACCACAGTTTTAGTCAGGTGCACCTTAGTCCTCAAAGTGACATCTTTGCTTTTCGACACTTTAAAGAGGTCTTTTGCAGCAGATCTGCAATACGTCGTTTGATTTCTTGACTGCTGCTTCCATGGGCAATGACTGCGGATCCAAGCAAAAGGAAATCCTTGACAACTTCAATTTTTTCTCCATTAATCATGATGTTGCTTACTGGTTCAGCTGTGAGGATTTGTTTTCTTTATGTGGCGGTGTAATCCATATCGAAGACTATAGTCTTTGATCTTCATCAGTAAGTGCTTCAAGTCCTCTTCACTTACAGCAAGCAAGGTTGTGTCATCGGCATAACGCAGGTTGTTAACAAGTCTTCCTCCAATCCTTATGCCCGTTCTTCTTCATCCAGTCCAGGTTCTCCAACTGTTTGCTCAGCGTACAAACTGAATATGTAAGATGAAAGGATACAACCCTGACTCACACCATTCCTGATTTTAAACCGTGCAATGCTCCTTTGTTCTGTTCAAACGACTGCCTCTTGGTCTATGTACAGGTTCTACATGAGCACAATTAAATGTTCTGGAAGTCCCATTCTTCGCAATGTTATCCATAATCTGTTATGATCCACACAGTCGAATGCTTTTGCATAGTCCATAAAACACAGGTAAACAGCTTTCTAGAATTCCCTCTGTTTAGTCAAGATCCATCCGACAACAACGATATCGCTTGTCCCACATCGTCTTCTGAATCCGACTTGAATTTCTAGCAGTTCCTTGCTGACATACTGCTGCAACCATTTTTGAATTATCTTCAGCAAAATTTTACTTGTGTGTGATATTAATAATATTGTCCAATACTTTCCACAAACTGTTAGGTAACCTTTCTTTGGAATGGGCACAAACATGGATCTCTTCCAGTTGGTTGGCCACGTAGCTGCCTTCCAAATTTCTTGGCACAGATAAGCGAGCAGCTCTGGCATTGCATCCATTTGTTGAAACATCTCAACTGGCATTCCGTGAATTCCTGGAGCTTTGTTTTTCACCAGTGCCTTCAATGCAGCTTGGACTTCTTACTTACGTACCACTGGTTGTTGATCACATGCTACCACCTGAAATGGATGAGTGTAGACCAGTTCTCTTTGGTACAGTGACTCTGTGTTTTCCGTCTATCTTCTTTTGATGCTTCCTCTGTCGCTCAATATTGTTCCCACAGAATCCTTCAGTATTGCAACTCGAGGCCTAAATTTTTTCTTCAGTTCTTTCAGCAAGAGTGTTCTTCCCTTACGGTTTTCTGACTCTATGTCTTTCAACATGTCATTATAATACTTTTGTCTTCTCGAGCTGCCCTTTGAAATCTTCTGTTCAGCTCTTTTATCCATCATTTCTTCCGTTTGCTTTAGCTACTCTATGTTCAAGAGCAAGTTTCAGAGTCTCTTCTAATATCCATTTTGGACTTTTC